CGCGGGGAGGGCGGGAGGCGGCACCCGGGCGCGCGCCGGCCCCGGAGCAGGTCGCGTTTAACCCAAAAATAAAGGGCTGCTGAGGCAGGATCCGGGAAACGCGGCTTTGCAAGAGCATAAAACTTTTCTTTTTTATCCTCTCTCCTTTTTTAATCACGTCCCCTGCACCAATTGCTATTTTTTTTCTTTTTCTTTTTTTTTCTTTTCTTTTTTTCTTTTTCAAAGTTGATTTATCTTCTATTTGCACAACCTAACATTTGAGGTCTCTTGGGCATATATGTAACAACACAACAGTGCTGAAGGATAGAAGGTGGAAAGAAAAAAAAAGAAAAAAAGAAAAGGGAAGAAACTTGCCCCAGAGGCAAGTGGGTAGGAATAGACTATTTCAAGACAATTAACCCAGCTAATGGTTTGGAAAGGGAGACAAGGAACTTCCCTGCAGGGTAAAGCTGGTTTGCGGGCACCAGACTGCTTGCAAGAACGCTGCCTCTGTTCCTGGTGCTCTGGTGGCTCCCTTTTTGGTGCTCTGCTCAGAGCCCTTGCTCTGCTGAAACACAGGTGGGTGTTTGAGGGGTCTCATCTCCTCTCTGTGAGCCCGTGATGTGGGACAACAGAAAGGTGGCAGTTTCCAAAGCAAAGCGCTGAGATGCTGGACCACTCAGGATGCATATTCTCCACAGGCTAAAAACAGATGCTTTTCAGAAGCTCTTGGAGGTACATCTATTTTGCACAGAACCTGAGGCAGACACGTGAGCCAGTATTGCTATGAACTATTTGTTCTCATTCAGAAATATTATTTGAGTCTTACGAGTAGGGTGGTGGTGTGGATGTGCCCGCTGTGCCATGCTAATCTGCATTTTGGAAAGCTTCCCTAGGCCCATGGTGCTGCCCTCCAGAGACAGTCCTTCACAGCATTGGGACGAGGAAATTCCTTTCCTTCCTTATATAGCAGCGCATTTGAGCACCAGCAACTCTTGGATTTGGATTTAAGATGTGCAACTGTTACGGTGTAATCCTATTCTAGGGCTAAAACCAAAATCCCTTTTAAGTAATGTGTGGGCATCTGAGGAGTCCCCGAAATGAGGAGATACCTACGGGAGCTGGATATTAGACAAGCATTTTGTAAATAGCTAGACCTTGGGAAGACTACAACTCCCCACTCCAGCTGAGCTGCATGAGCAGCATATTTAGTTGGTCCCCGTTCCCACATTGCTTAGGCCTCCCTGTTACTGTGCCTGCTTCCAGCTGTATGATTGCTCTTCTGTCTGCCTTGCACCAACTCTGCTGCTCGCATGATCACATGGCAAGCCAATTCATCCTGCTTGCCAGCCAAAAATAATTTTCTTTCTGCTGTTTTAGTGAGTTGAATTGGCTTTGGGCTGCAATTAAACGTATGCTGGAGCAAGTCCTTGGCAGAAGTATGTGTCTCAGAGGGAAGAAACAAGAGCAGGGGAGAGGGGTACCTCTCTTGGCAATGATGAGCAGTTAATTTAACTCAAGACTTGACATATGAAGTTTCAGTTTGAGGTGTTGCTACCAGTCAGTTACTTGCTGCTCATTTCTTTTTGGAACTGTCATCCCCATGGCAGACTCAAGAAAACACCGGGAGTGCTTTAGTGCTTCATACTCCGAGTCTCTAAGCAAAGGTGGTTTGGGCTCACTTGGCAGATTCAGGTGCCTCTATGAATTCTGCTTTGCTGTCTAGATAGTAACATTTGGGAAGTGCTCTCTTTGGTCATGGCCGGAAGAGGTGACTGCTCTGGGTTGTGGGGCATGAGGGATTTTGTTGCTCCTTTAGTAAGCAGCTTTTGTATCGACATATGCTCCTCTCTGGTGGCAGAAAAAGAAACTAGCCTGAGGGGAGAAAAGTCACAGAGGGGCTTGGCTGGAAACAGAATTTGGGGAAAGATTTGAAGTATGGGAATATCTTGGCAGGAATTTCCAGACTAGGCAAAATTCAGTAAACCTGGCAGGCAAAATGAGTATTTAAGAAGTGGTTGGTTAAACTCACTGTGGAACCAGGTGGCTGAAGTAGCAGGGCCACGATCTGCACAGAATTATGTAGTAAGATTTGCATTAAAAAGTTAACAGTGCAATCAAGAGGGTTTTCCCTGGGAACTCATAAAATGGATAATGGGTGTTGAGGCAGTCTTTGCTGGAGTTTCTCGTATATAAGAGCCAGTGAAACAACCCTTAGAAAATGATGCTGATGAGGGAGAACCAGGAAGAGGTAGTAGGAGAAGTAGTAAGTCTCTAAGGAGAAAAAAATAGAAAGAGCCCTTGGAGGGAGTAGCTATGCAACGTCTGAATTTGGATGAGAACCATTAAGGGGAAAAACAAGACTCGTTTCTTGTGCTTAGCGTGCTGCAGGAGAGAAGAACTATATGATGTATGTGAACAGTTTTGTATGAAAGATATACCTGATTCTGTCGCCAGTTCCTGCTTTTAGTAGAAATAACTGTTGTACCAAATTTTGGCTGACTGCTGAAGGCCAGAGGGAGTGATTTGCAGAAAATGAAGTGTTAACTGTCTTGATGTATTTTTTTCTGGTAATTTTCTTGAGTAGGTCACATGTGTGCCCTGGATCAGTGCAGTCCTGGATACTTGCTCCAGGGTAACAAAAAACCCCAGGCCTCAATCCAATCTAGATGAAGGTGCAGCAACTGGGTCTCCAGGGAAAGATTTCTGCAGCCAGGCAGAGCGGGCATCACTGGAGCCAGTTCTGCCTGGTGGGAACACTGGCTTCCTGAGAACAGTGGGACTAAAATTAGCTTCGGAACATTTTTTTTCTTCTTCCCCCTCATGCTTTTGCATGAAATCTGTTGTTTATTGTTATAAACAGCAGGAAAAGTATTTGGGTTGAAGGCTTCCTTTTTATTTTTTATTTTTACCCTAATAAAAGAGATTTTGAAATCCTCAGTCTTTGGAACGGGAGGTAAATGGATTTTGAACTAAGTTATTGGTTATGTGTTGGTCACTCTTCTGTTTCTGTCAGTGTGGAAAGAAAACATCATCACGCCAAATACTGTCTGAGCAAAAATACGCAAAAAGGTGTGAATGGCTTTACATGAATATTGTATCCTTGATGTATGCTATTACAAATATTCTTTTTTTTTTTTTAAGCAAGAGAAAGGATCCATAGACCTCTTTTATTGTTGTGTGTGTCACCTGTTTGCTTGGTAGTTGCTTCTTTTCCATGGCTGAGTCCTTCCTGATGTCTCCTGAGCAGTTGCCTAGTTCTGAGTTGAAGATTGTCCAATGCGGTTTTCTGACAAGCAGGAGTTTGTTGCACCACATCTAGATGGTGGCTGCGAAATAGCCTGCTTCTGGGACACATCAAAACCAGGCTGACTGCAGGAAGTGAGGATGTTTCTGTTCAAAGCCACTCTTGTGGCCATTTTTCCCTTTCAAAAATGATGAGCAAAAATAAAGCAATCTTTTATATGTGCGAAACTGCTGGCATTAAACTTTCTCCCTCATTATTTACCTGTCCTGTGTCAAAAATTCCATCTTCGTGTTTTGCCAAAGTTGGAGGAAGAACTCATTTTTTAGTAGAGACTTGATAGTAGACTTGATCAGAGACTTGATAATAACAATTCCATAGGTGGTTTCCTATATTATCACTGAAATGTGAAAAATTCAAGAAATATTTCAAGAAGTAAATTTACTTTTCAAAGGTACCTTGAACTTGTTAAGATCTTTGCAATCCAGATCTTTGTAAAATTCATACTGGTGGACTTTTGTGAAGGTCCTGGTAGTCCTGGACTCCAATTCCGGGTGCTGGCCCGTGAACTGCAAGATACTGCAGTAAAAGGAGCTATCTGTGAGTTCAAGTCACTTTACTGTCTCCTGGCATGACTACAATACATTATAGACTTTTATATAAAAGTTATATAAGTAAAATCGTTATTAACATGGTAGGAGCTCTTGCCTCTTTTACGAGAGGTAGGAATTATGAGCAGCCTGCCTTTTCTGTCACTTAATCTGCTCTCCCATCTAATGTTTTTCTTTTCTCATCTGGACATAGATGAAATCCAATAACAGTGGACATTTGTTTTGCGGTCAAAACTATCAAGGTTGGACTCAACACTCCTGACAGTCATTGGAAAGATTTCTTGTGCACGGAAAATTTATGGACATAAAAAGATGCTGAGTTGCTGAGTTCAGTAATTTAGCCTTAAAAGGCATCCAAACATTTTCTTCCTGATCAAAACATTTTATACTCTGCAGCTCTGAGCTGTTTACATCTGGTCTGTCTGGGGCTGCAGCGTTGGCAATTATATGCATCAAAAAGGGAAAAGAGGCATTAAATTTAGGTGTCTGTCCAGTTCTCTCAGGGAGTTTGTCTCTCTTTAGTTTGACCTCCGGAAAAAGAAATGCAACAGTGGCATCCTGTGGTCTGAACAGTTAATGACAGGTGTGTCCACAATTTGTCACTGAGTTCTCTTGGTGAGTGGTAGATGGATCTAATCTTTTCTAAGGAAGTTTACAAGATAAATAGTATTTCATGCATGCACCATGCACATTTTTAACCTGAAGTGCTGTCCATTTTTTTTTCACTTGAGCTTGAGTGTTATCTCTATATCTCAAAGCAAGTCAAAAAAAAAAAAAAAAAAAAGAAACACACCACAGTGCATTTGGCCTTCTGTAGTTTTACTGGTTTTGGATCGGATGAATGCTATTTCTTTAACTAGCACCCTCAATTTCCCTTCTCTCATCCTCAAATGCTTCTCCTTCCTCCTCCAGAAGAAGGAAGCTCCACATAAATGATAAAAAAATAAGAAAGGATTTTTAGCATAGAACTTCCCATTGTGAGAAGAAATTATTCTTCATGTGTAAGAAGAGCAGAGAGTACAAGGCATTAGAGCTACAAATGTTGAAGGAAAAAGCATCATCCCCATTTTTCCTTTAGCTCATGAAAGGAAAAACATTTCAGCTGGGCCTTTCTACTCAGTAAGTGTTCTAACTACCTTATATTTTGCTGCTCATGTTCCTACCAAATCCTTAGGTGCTGCAATGAAGAGGATGTCTTGAGTTACTCACCTAGGAGACAGGACTTAGTCTATCAGCCTTTGTTCTGGTGAACATTGCTCCTAAGAACAAGTGTAGAGGAAAGACCAAGAGTGACATTTTTTTTTTCCAAGTAACCCATCGTTTAGTGTAGTTTACTTGGCCTAGAAATTAGTGTTTCAGGGAAGTCCAGTGAAGAGAAGGCTTGCTTTTCCTTGCTCCCTCATCACATCCAAGTGCTCACTCCTTCCCTCCCTCCTGCACAACGTGCATGTGTCTGTCTCTGAGGCTCCCCAAGCTGTTTAACTGGGACAGACCTGTGATTCGTGACCCCCTCACCAGTGGGTAATGACAGCGGTGACCAACAGCCTCCTGAGCGCTTGCAGGCGCACCAGCAGGTGCATTACTTGAAGAACCCGTGTGTGCACCTGGACACCCCAGTTGTCCCAATTGGGAAGCTGCGCAGCTCTTCCCCTCCCCAGTTCACAGTGGCTGGGAAAGGGAAGATGTTAAGGTGGTGTCCTAGAGCCCTTTCCTTTCTCTTTGCTTTCTATATCATGCTTAGAGATGTAAATGCTACTGAACACTCATCACCAGGGGCCTCTTCAGGGAATCAACCAACTTTGATCATTTTAATTCTGCCTTTTATTTTTTTCTTCTGTGTCCAGAAGGTTCCAGCTCTCTATTTTTGTTTGTTTGTTTGTTTTTTCCAATCTATTTTGAGAATTGGAAAGCAGGTTGCAGGCAAAGTTGTCCCCCACCACTAGCATGCTGAAGAACTTGCGGGCCACAGTTTTCTGTTGTGCAGGGAAGTTACGCGGATCCTTTCTCAGGAAGGCTGGAGTGGGAGGCAGGGGCACGGGACTAGCAGAGGGCAGGGGCCTCATCGTTGTCTTTAATAACGAGTGAGAGCTCCCAAAACTTTTGTGAAATGGCTTGTCGGAGCTTACACCATGATCTCCTGCCAGTTTTAATCCCAGGGCTGTCTCTTAAAACACGCACATGCATGAAAACAAACAAATGTTGAGCCTTGCTGTGGCTCCAGCCCTGTTAAACTCTGCTCCTTTTTGTCAGTTAAACTGACAACCAAGATAAGAAGAGCCGGTGTCAGTATCATCTGTTGCATAACAAACCGCTCTCGACAAAAGAAGCAGCCTCCTGTCAAACGAATTTCCTTTATAACTGCCAAGGGGGATATTTTTAGTTTCATCTGCCATGCTTTGCTCCTAAATCATTCGTTTCACTCTGTTTTTCTCTGATTCTCACTCCCTTTCCCCACCAGTTCCGATGCCAGGTACCCGCTGCCGGGGCGGCGCGGGAGGCTCTCCGGCTCCCTGGCACCGGTCGCTCTGTGGGAGCTCGAGCTGCTGCTTGGTACCTGATGGGTTTGTACCTGCCCCACTGCACCCAGACGGGCTTCAAAGGGAGGGAAGTTCTGGGTAAAAACATGTAAACCACTCTGAGTGTAGGTGAGGGGTGTCACAGAGCAACAAGGGAGTTAGAGGAGCTGCTGCTGGGAAAGGATTTTCAGTGAGGCTGTGTTCTGCAGCAAGCATGCTTTAAATTGCACTAGGGGACCTACAAATGGTGTTCAAGCAGTGTCGCAGGCACTCTATGTCAGGCAGTGAACTCCACATACCATTAGCAGAACATGTCTGTTTTTTTCCACCAGAGATAAAATCAAAGTGCTTTGGGAATGATGGTGTTTATTCCATAGGTCTTGACTCTACAGTGTAGGCTGTTCTTCCTTTTGGTCTGTGTGACCCACAGCATGTTTTTAGTCCTTTGAGCATCAGAATGATTCTTGTCTCCTGACCGAGATATAAAACAGAAGTCCTCCTTTCTGTAATGTATTAGAGATCTTGTGGTACTGCTTGCAAGAGTAGGAGGGCCCTAAGGCTTCAGTCGTTCTGGAAAGAAGGCTACTTTGCTCACTTGTAATTCTTGTCATTCTCTTGTGCCCAACACCCTTGATAGCATCTTCCTAAAGCCTGATTCATGTGCATTGCTTTATACTCCACACCTTCTTCCTCCACAGTACACAAAAGCCTTACTGTAATGGGTTGCTTTATGCCCACGGTGCTTTTGTAAGCTACAAGTTGCTGCAATACTTGCTTTATAGCTGGATTGGAGGAGCACAGAGGCAAGTGAATTGCCCAGTGTCAAACAGGAAGCATGGGACAGCATGGGGAGTTATGCCTTGGCCCCCCAGGTGAACAGTGCAGTCTCAAAGTTAGTGTGTTAACATATTCTTGGGAAGGGACAGAGGTCACATCAAGAAATAATCACTAGAAATGGTCACCAGTTTTGATCATCAGTGTTTTCTTACCAAAAAATGAGTTTTCAGATCACATAAAATGTTTGGAAGAATGTGTCATGTGTTGTCTGTATTCCTTCTTCAACTAGTGTTGGTTAACCCTGATGTGATACATTTCCATTTAGGCTGACGTAAAACTCTTCCTGCCTTTCTTTTCCACTTTATTGCCTCCCTTTGGTTCATTTAACTTTTTGCTTTCTCTCAACTTCCTTTACTGGGGGAGTGGTAGGCTTTACTTCTGATTCTGCCATTTTCAAGACCCTGCATTAGACCTGGTTTTGGAAGCTGGAAGTGGGGGAAGCACTAGTAGCAGAACATCTCTTTGAAGATGCTTGGAAGTCTGCCAGAAATCTGCCAGATTGTTAATGGTTTGCGACATATAAAAGCAGAAAAGTGGGGGTTCCTAATAGTTCAAGGTCTGTTGAAGCAGGTTTGAAATATGGTTAGCAGTAACGGCATTTAAAGAGATAAAAATTATTTTGGTTATTCAGACTCATGAGTATATTTCAGCCATCATTGTGGAATCATTTTAGCTTCATGTGCATCTCTTGGATTTTCCCTCTCTTGCTCAGATTTTTCTTTCTCAGTGCTTTCATTCCTGTTCATCTGTCACATTCCTTGCTCGGGTGCCTGGAGGCAACTTTCCATTCTGCTCTTGTGTGTTTGCACGTGTGGCATCCCTGTTCCCCTGCGACCTCTCTGTGTGTGGAGCCTGTCTTTCGGTCATTTATCCCACGGCTTAGCAGTCCAGTTTGGTACCTTTGTACCCATATGTTGTTCTACAAAAAGACGAGGTTGCATCTGCTGAATCAGTGGCATGAGAAATAGTGAGACAGTTCATGGCCAAGGACCTGGAAAAAAAAATCACTTGGTTCCAAGGGTGAAGAGTGTCTGACCTTCAAAATTTTTCACGGCATGTTTAGAGGTTAAGGGTGGCGAAGTCAGGAAGAAATGCAAAACTCCACTTTCAAAATGGATCTGAAATGAGAAAGGCCAATATTACTCTCCCATAGTGTAAAAGGGCCCCTATGCTGAAGACATGCGTATAAGAAGTCGCCAGCAATCATTAAGCTCAATTAATCTTATTCCTGAGGCCATGATAACAGCTGTGGGCTTTTTAAACAAAGCGGTGGTGGGCAAGGAGGAGAGGAAAACTAAAGAAAAGAGGTTCTGCTATAAACACTCATCCCACCACCACCCCAACTACACGGTAAGGCAGAAACTGGGTCAGAGACACCCTTCCCCCAACACTCTATCAAAGTTATTTGAGCTTCTATTGAAACCATCACAATAGAAGAGTTTGGCTCCTGCATTCACTGAGCAAAACTGATTTGTGCTTCTCGGTTCAGACAAAGCTGCTCGGTAATTTTCCATGCAAGCACAATGCA